AAGCTAAGGAACATGGCGTCCGGATGTATGTGTAAATGTACTTGTAACGCCAAAAGATGAAATAGTATTGTTGGTAAGGTGTAAAGGGGAACAACCCATGGTTTTCATTCATTCATTGAGCTGTTGCAATCAGATTGAAATACATTGGTTTGGATTTGGTACTGACGATGTTATATATATTTTTATCGTTTTCTGACACAGGTATCAACATACAGATAAATACCCTTACAGACAGTGTACAAACAACATATATATATATATATATATATATATATGTGTGTGTATCTTATTCCTGTGTACTAAACAAAACGAGTATTAAACTTCACATGTGTGTAACAAATAATTACCAAACACAAAAAACAACGAAACAAAAATAACATGGCCATTTGATTAAAACTCTTTCGGTCCGTATCTCGTTAATCCCATCACCGAAGTTGGTAAATCCTCGAATGCAATTACAAGGCGGCTAAAGGCAGATCGAAACGACAGGAAGAAAAACAAACGGTAAAGCATTCACATGTGCATGTATAAACGACCTAACACTCGGATAAACTGTCACCAAATGTTGATATCTGTCGGCGATTTGTTATGGTGTTTCCCACAAATAAAGATAGTTCGTCATGCTACTATGCAATAGACCCGTGGTTATGATTATATGAGTATCTGTTTGACCACTTTTACCACTACAGATAATATTTCAGTTATAAGTTATAAGCAACGACGTCCAAAGCTCCATTATTCAGTATAATTTCTGGAAATAGGAGATATTTTAAAGTGAACACAATGTGATGAATGACCACAAAAGCAACGTTCCTATGTGGTTTATTTTTATACCACCTCTTCCTAGCGTGCATACAAGCCAAAAGTCACTACCCTGCGCCTTCTGGTAATTCAGAATAAGACAATTAAAGATTTTAACACATTGACTTTATTTTATGACCTTGAACGTGGCTCAAGGTCATTCATTTGAAGAAACTTAATACACTGTAGCACTTAACTCAATCAAGCTATATGTCAAACACCATATCAATAGACCTCCTCGTTATACAGAATAAGCGGAAGGTGTAACATGTAACACGTCCGAGCCCAATGACATTAAATGATAGTCAATGTAATTTCTTTTTGCAAACTTTGCAGCACTCCAGGCTAACAAGCTACCGGTCAAATAGCATGACTCTAAGTCTTTTTGTTTTAAAGAAGAAGTCTTTGAAGCATAAATCAATGTCGTTTCGGTTCAAAACTTTATGGCATGCCGTGTCAGCAAGCTACTGACCAAATATCATGACCTAGTATGTTCAGAAGAAGTCGTTTGAGTGTTTTAACAAATTTGACCACTCTGACCTTGAGTCATTATCGATACTCCTGGAGTCACTTTTCTTTTTCTCTGTGCAAAACACGAAAGTGAGCGTAACCCCATGAAGTTTCAAGGATATCCTTGGGTATAACAGTAATATCTTTTTGAAAACACTGCGTAGCACCTCATTTGTTTAAGCTATCGACCTGATAGCATGCCTCTAGACATTTCGGTTCCTCAGAAGAAGTCATTCGAGGAATTTGTTTTTACCCAAGTGACCCTGAAAATAGGTCAAGGTACATTTTTTGCAAATTTGCAGGGCTTTATCAGAGGAAACTGCTGACCAAATACCAATAAGCTTGGCCTCTCAAGGATCGGTTCTCTAGCAGATGGTTTTAACGGGAAAGCTTACGGACGACGGATATCGCACCACGGCAAAAGTTCACTTAGCTCGCCGGGCTAGGTGAGCTTGTACACGATCAGTAGTTTTAGTGTGTAATACGTATTTAGCATGATGAAGTTATAATATTTAAACTAAAAAAATAAATAAGGAGGGGAGTAAAACGGAATGTTGTATTACCTGTGTCATTGCAAGCTAGCTTTGCTAAAGAATAGCGTAACAAAGTCCTCAAGAAGGGCATTTTCTGATACCTTTTCTCATGAATATAAAACCCCGAATCACTCTTCAAACTCTTTTCACAAAACAAGCAACAGCGAAAAATAGAAGGCTACTCCTTAATGGCAAAAACTGATAGATTACCCATCACGGTATATATTTTTAAGTAATTGAAACAGTGATTGAAGTGATTTAAATAACGTTAACTTAAAAATAATACATTCATTAGGATATAATATTTATGATCTCACAATTATAGCAACCCATCAATGTTCTACCGTATACAGGTCATAGATAGGTACATATATGTATCTGTTAAATATGCATTCATATACTGTACAAAGAACAGTTAGATAGTCATCCTTTTTCTAGAGTTATATTATGTAAAACGTTTTGAATTTCCCCCCATCAATGTTACAGGAAAGTGTTAACAAATTGCATGACAGATAGCTCAGCTCTCTTCCTCTGCAATTAGGAGATCCGCAAAATCCCGAGAAAACGTTTGGTGCAAAAAAAACAATAAGAGATATTCGAGGCAAGCAACTCAATGTCAGAAAAAATATATCTTAAAATAGAACAATGGCAGGACACTAAATCTTTATATGAAGACCACTCGAAATAGTGTGGAACCTCATCATCTCAAATATTATACTGAAAATGGAATTGGAGACGTCTTTGCACAAGTTTTATAACTGAAATATTGTCTGAAATGATAAAGGTGGCCAAAAAGATATCTTAAGAATCACAACAACGGGGCTATTGGTAACATAAAGAATTAGCTTTAATCATGGGAACATAACAATTCTCCGACAGAAATCAACTTTTGGTGCCAGTTTATCCGAAAGTTTGAAAAACCCTCGAGGAGCTGGAAGGTCGTTTATACATGAATATGTGAGAATTGTTTCCGAAGTAACATTGGCTTTGTCTCGTTTCACGAGGCTCTTTAGTTTGAATACCTAACCGTTTTCGTTTCTCCTGCTGCTTCGATCTGCCTGTTGCCGCCATGTTTTACATTCGTAGATTCACCAACTTCTGTCACGTGATTCCCCACCTGTTTTTGATTGTATTTACCTTCATTGTAACTAAATGGATGTAAGTGAAATGTGAACACCTAAGTCCAATTAAATTTTAATGTGTTGTAACAATATCCAATCGAATAATTAAGAAAACCATCTGGACTAAATACCAAACAATACATGTAAAAAACAAAAATTGACAAAACACATAAAATGAAACTAACTACATGTAAATAATTAAATAAACCCAATCAAAACAAGTACTAACTTAACGCACTCATAAAATAAGAAGTACAAAAAAGTGAATAAATGAGTGAATAATGAATAATAAAAAAGATAAAAAAAGTGCCAACGAAATAAACATACATACAATGTATACGGTAATGCTCTTCTTTATCCTTTTCCACAACGAGATATCCTCTAAGTCGATCGTCGACTACAGCAGTTACGAACCTTCTGTCCGAGGGTACATAAAACCCCTCAATTTTTAGTCCGAGTTTCCTCTGGTCCTGACACCAGACTAACACATTTTGACAGATAGATTTCTGGTCTAGTGTAAGGGCCAGAGGAAAATCGGGCTTCTCAATTTTGTACTTGTCAATACCAAAAACGATTCTCTAACATTGCAAATGTGTAAATTGCCTGGCATTGAATTGGTCAAAATTGATGAACTTCAGCTCCAGGCTAAAGAACTTTGATATAGTTATCCGTTTCAGAGAATTCTAACCTTGATGGAATACGTGGCAAAAGCGAATTTTACGGCAAAATGTAACATTACATCTATAGGATTGACGTTAAACATTTATGCTGGGATGAAAAGTGATATCTCAATAACAAAGCCGAGAATATTGACATGAATATTACCAGAAGAAACACTGTGTAATTCATTAACAGTGTGCCAAGTTTGATCAAAACTGGATGTCAAACGGAGTCACTTTAAATAGCATAGAAACCAATCGAAAAATGTCGTAATGTGAAAGATTTATGATGACACGGTCCTGTATGTCATATGCTATTTTTTAACAGTTTCTGTTTGTCGTTACCTGAACCTCGTAAGCTTGGACGGAGACAGTTAAAAGATTAAAACGTCATAAGGTACGATATTTCATTCAATCCTGTTTGTAGGTAAGACTTCACAGATAATAGTCATGCTCCACAGGACCAACTCCACAGTGCTTGAATTGATTGCCTACACCCAACATTATATCCGACTGGAGCAAGGTACACAGTTACGGATGCGTAAGAGGCATACACATGTGGTTTGGATTGTTTCTATTCTGTTTAACGTCTTATTAACAGTGAAGGTCATGTAAGTACGAGTCTGCACGTGTGTAATGTATGCTTGCTTGTGTGTGTATAATGTACGCGGATATACAAATGAGGATAACAAAGACAAGCTAAATGACTTTACACGACCCCGAGACTATAACTGTTTAATCAGAGGATATCGGAACGCCGTTTTACTATTTAATCTCATTTAGTGCTCAACGTATTTAAATAAGGTAGTTACACCCTACATGTTTTGTAAGCCGATTATAATGTTGAGTCGATGATATATGGCAAGGGACATAACATATGATACCAGCAAAGGGGTTCCAAAAATATCAGAATTAGCTCTCAATTTTCGGTATTTAGAGTTGATTAAGTCGACTTGCTATAGCGATGTGAATTATTGAATTAGCTAGCAGTGATGCAAGCGATATTGTCACAGGCACATGAGAATTTGTCAATAGTAGTTTAGATGCGTCAACAGTAGTCGTAGACTATAATGGTATGACGTCGACAACGGTGAGTTAACTGTGAGCTGTTACAGGACATGTATCCAAACCTTTCCTGATGTGTGTATATCAGACATTTTAAAGTTTTGGATAATCATTTGTTATAAATGCTTATTATAAAAAAAATGATGTCTCTGTGATGTTACCGTAAATAGGATAAAAATGTAAATACGGCGCTATGTTGCTTTTTAATCACGTTCGATCAATGATTTGAAAACGGCGCCTTATGGTATCGCGACTGAAACACAACAGCTGATTCACCAGCATGCAAATGACATAAACAGGCATGTACTTACCGAAAATAAACAAACGAATAAAAGGAGGGACGGAGAAGACATTTTGGATACGGTGTCTCTGTCAATGCCCGCTAACTATCCATGAAACACTCTGCCGTACAAGGTTAAACCATACTGGTATAATGTCTACGTTTCACAGGCTGTTCATCATGTGGCAACATTTGTGGAATCGATCATCTTGTAATTTTGCAAACCAAAGACAGACGATATTGATCTGTCTATATTCTTCATTGCATAATCTTTGATAACACACACTCGAATGTCGTATTGCATATAACGTTGCTCCTACTTTCCTTTGTTTTAACGCTATTTGTAAGCCAAAAGCTCCACCCAGCCCCTTAATTAGCGAAGTCAGTGTTACAGTCAGGGCAGTAGGTACAATTTGGCATCATTTCAAAATGATGTCTGAATGGAATGGATATATACACACTGACGCACGTAGTTTCCTGTACACATATACACGAGTCGAGCAGTGGTTGGCTGGGCCTACGTCACTAATACACGTGTACATCAATGTGTAGCACGAGTTGTCTTTCTTACTATAGTATAATCTAGAAGTCTGCGTGTGACGATTGGTAACTGTCTATTTTTGAACCCATATTTATGTGTATAGAGTGACAACAGACTCATTAGGGTATTTTTATAGCAACACTCCTCGGTCATGATCTAAATCCTTAAAACCTCTAATATTACTCATCAGCATAATTCCAAATATACGTCCTGGAACTTAATCTCAGTTTGCTATGGAGTAAAACAGTAACGAAAATCAAACTCTGGTCTGGTCTGAACGTTTCGAGTCGAATTACATTAAATCCAACACAATAATTGACAGAATTTACAGTTATCAGTTTATAAATTTCTCTAAAGTGCTTAGCATAAAAAATAATCTTAATATAAAATAAAATGCATTTATTGTCCTTACTTTAGGGAAACACGATTCGCTGTTTCTCCGCCCTCGTGATTTTTGTCATAATAAAATATAAATTGTCCTAGGAGAAGGTATAGCGAATATAAAAACGCTCTTGTTATATTCAACAAATCTAAAAACGAAGAAAACCGTGTCTGTCTTATTAACAAGAAAAAAATGTACAAAATATTAGAATACAAACTTAAAAAAGAATATAAGTGTCAAAAAGGCAACATGCTCAATTACATGAGAAAATATAATCCTAAGAGTTTTTATAAACATTTCAAAAAAAGGAAGCAAAAGGTTAAAAACGATTTGAGTGATACTGATTTTTTCGACCATTTCTATAAATTAGCTTCAACCAAACCAACTATTTATGCTAATGTTAATTTTTTTCTGCAAGAACATGATTTTAACTCTTCGAATGTTACATTTGACGAATTAGACGCAAATATATCAGAAGCCGAAATATTTGTTGCAATTAAGAAATTAAATGCAAATAAGGCATGTGGCCCTGACAATATTTTAAATGAATACATAACTAAATGTAAGACGGTATTGATGCCTTGTTTTGTAACTTTATTTAACAATATACTTAAAGCTGGTCATTTCCCGGAAGCATGGTCAAAAGGTAATATTGTGCCTGTCTTTAAGAAGGGAGATGTCAACGTTGTAAATAATTACAGAGGCATTACTCTTGTTAGCTGTTTGGGGAAACTTTTTACGTCAATCATTAATAATAGGCTTGTGGTATTTGACCAAAAATATAGTAAAATAACGGATGCGCAGTTTGGCTTTAAGAAAAGCTTGTCTACTATTGACGCCATATTTGCTTTACAATCTTTGATTAACCGCACTCTAAAACGTAAAAAAAAGATTATACTGTTGCTTTATTGATTATACAAAGGCGTTTGATTTCGTCAATAGACAAAACTTGTGGTTCAAATTGATAAAAGAAGGCATTGATGGGAGATTATTAAAGCTAATAAGGTCATTGTATAGTAGTGTTAAATGTTGTGTTTAGCATAATGGTTCATTATCCAATTATTTCAATTGTGAAAATGGATTGTTTCAAGGTGAAATTGTATCGCCATTATTGTTTACATTATATGTTAATGATTGCGAAATGCAATTTTTAATTGACAACTGTCAGTCGATAGAAATTCAAACACTGAATTTGTCCCTTTTGATGTACGCAGACGATATGGTGATTTTTTCCGAAACGCCAGAGGGTCTGCAAGATATGTTAAACTCTTTAGAATCGTACACAAAAAAATGGGATCTAACAGTCAATACGGATAAAACAAAATTTCTTGTTTTCCGAAATGGGGGTATTTTGAGAAATAATGAATGTTGGAAATACAATGGTCGTCAGCTAGAAATTGTAACTGAATTTAACTACCTAGGAATCTTACTAAATTACAATGGAACATTTAGAAAAACACAACAAAAAATTGCAGATCAGGGAAGAAAGGCTTTGTTTTCAGTTATGAATGTATGTCGGAAAAAATATTTTAATATTGAAACTCAATGATCAGTTGTTGATACGTATGTAAATAGCACTCTAAGCTACGGTTCTGAAATATGGGGCTTTCATAAAGCCCCAGATATTGAAAAAAATCATACTTTGTTTTGTAAACGACTGCTTGGCGTAAGAAAAAATACTTGTAATGTTATGGTTTATTTAGAACTTGGGAGGTATCCATTGTCATTGGTAAGAAAGTTAAGAATGATTAAATATTGGATTAAGTTAAAAAGGACTAGTAATTGTATTTTGCAAGCATGTTATAAAGATATGTTAGAGAATAAGGATAAATGGGTTTTAAACATAAAAAATGATTTATTTAGAATTGGCCTTGGTTACATATGGGAAACAGAAATAAATGATGATATGTGTTATAATGTTATTAGAGAAAGACTTATTGATAAGAATGCAAAGAAAACGTAAGATCATCTTCAAAGGGATATATCTATACATATCTTTATAACCAGTTTGATTTACAGTGTTACTTAAGAAAACCATTATCTAGAGAATATTTGAAAGAGATTACAAAAATTAGGTTATCTGCTCATAATCTAAATATAGAAAAAGGTAGATATCAAAATATTGAGCGTAGTCTTAGAGTGTGTACTGTATGTAATTTAAATGACGTTGAAGATGAGTTTCATTTTATGTTGAAATGTCCATGTTAATCGGATTTGCGTGTTAAATTTTTGAAAAAGTACTATGTAAAAAAACCAAGCATGTTTAAAATGATAAATCTAATTAATGTAAATAACACAAAAGAACTTGACAACTTGGCCAAATATATAAAAGCGGCAAATGTAAGAAGAAACCAATTAACTTAATTTGTTACACTCTCCATACTTTTGTACATTGCTGGTATTGTATTGTATGTATTGCATGTATTGTATTGTATTGTCTGTAGATATTGTAAATATATCTTACTTTTGAAACCGATGGGTCAAACGACCCAAGGTAATAAAGTACTTGAACTTGAACTTGAAGGTTGACGCACCATTATTGTCGTCTGTTTCTGTCACTCGGAACTAAAGTGTGGTTGATTATTCTAGAAAGGTTCCGAATAAGGGAAATGTGATCGGGGGGATTTGAGCGGGTGAGGGCAACATGATGTTTTAACTCTTGTATGTTTTTCTACAGAAGCTCCGTATATAAGGGAAATATGACGGAGAAAATTTGAGTGTGTGAGGGCAATATGATGTGTTATGCCCCCGTCATGTTTCCCGTATCATCCAATCAGACACGCTGTTGTAAAGATGAGGTATAATATGTTAAACTGTAAATCAGGTAACATTCAAGGGGGAAATATTCTACCGTTAGTCATTGTGATCTTGCAGTGCCTTGCATAGTCTGTGATCAGGCTTATTGAAGTTATTAACCATGGTATACTTTTCAAACGTGAGTATTCTCACGAAGTAGCTGGTGATGCACTCTCCTGGGTCCAGTACAAGTCCTATTGCAGTGATCGACGACAGTGTGTTGCCATATGATCTACTACCTCATATCACAAAATCCAATATTTCGGTAATCTTCCGGGATTGATGTTCGGACCACGACATCATTGCCTTTATGTCGGGCGTCAAAGCCATTCACTAGCATTGTTGCGCTGATGACATACAAAACTACGAGGCTATCAACCTACAAGACAATTAGGACACTACACCCAGAGAGGTTGCAAGCTTGTCGAATAGACGTCAATGCCTGAAAGAATGCCGCTATACAAAGCTTAATCAGGAAAAAACAGATTTTTTTTTTCTCCAAAAAATCCAGCAAACACAAGCTTTCCGAACACGGAGAAACTGTAAATCGCTTTTGAAAATTCCAATTACTACCAGATCAGGAATATTTATGCATTCGGCAGTTTATCATTACAAAGATACTTTTTTCGTTGTTCTTCACCTCTTGTTTTGATTTTCATTGGTATATACATTGTATCTGCACTGTGTTACATGTATATCTGATGCATGTCCACTAATTCGCCGTCTGTAGAGGCCCGGAACACATATATGGTTACCCGTTCATAATGTGACGCCGGGAGCAGTCCAGATCGACAAGAAAATGTTTTTCTTTAATTTGATGTATGATTTGCCATATATCATGCAGTATTATTTTCAGTAGGCTTCATGAAACATCGAAAAATGGTCGAATTTCAGTTGGTCGGACACTGTGCTGTCCACGGGATGACACGCTACACGACATGTCCGCTATTCAATGTTGGTACAGTGTTTGTATGATAGTTCATGACCTTGCATTATCATGTCGGACACTCGAGTCCAGTTTTCAAGCTGATCAGGCTGACGATCGAAAATCTGAACAGAGCCTGCCATTTTTTCTAACTTTTGTGACTTCGACGCTGATTGGATTCTAAATCTAACGGACCAATACAATGTAAACACTTTGATATTAGATCGCTACTCTTGTCTTTGAAATCATGTACTTAAAGAGTATGACTTGACTATTGTATAACGTATGTATTAATAGAATCCATCCCTGATGTGAGGTATGGATAAGGTTATTCAAGGTTATTGAGCATTATTTTATCCCGAGGGTTTGAATAACCTTATCCTTTCCACACATCAGGGATGGATTCTATTTCTTGTTATTACCTAAAACCCGTAAAAACAGCTGCTCTTTTATTAAAATCGTAAACTGTCCGCACATTTCTCATTTGCATATGAAGCCCGGATGGCAATTGTTAGTAACCTCAATGACCCTGACTGACCCCAAAACGTCATAAAATGACGTCACGGACAATAGCGTGACCCCGAAAGGTCGCCATAATTCCCCCACATGTCTGCGCGTGTAAGCGATCTAGACCCGTGGGTCAGATAGAATTTTCCAGCACCGCCGGAAATGCGGATATCTCGGTCTAGTATGCAAGAATGTATAATCAATAAGCTGTATTGCCATCATGAATTTGGAATATGACTTATGTACACCTATATTATCATATGCTTTTTGTTACACTAGAATTAATTATATAATTAACAGGCACATATAGTATAAAGCACCTCTAAGTAATTTTTTACACTCTCTGCGT